CCCCCCCCCCCCAACTCTACAAGTTTTATATTATCAGTACTGAGTGGAAAAAGACTGTCACGTGTGACGTGTGAACCCATGTATATTGTTTTTTCTTTAGGGGAGGCGATTATTATATTAAGTGCGACGGGTATGGTAGCAGGGTTGTCGGTTGGTCTATTGTTGAAAATCCGGCAAGGGGTAAGCCTCTCTGTAAGCCTATTTCTCAAAATACCCGGCCCCGGTTTAAAAAAAAAACAAAAAACAAGCTGCACCCGGTTAAGCCCTATTTTAAAATATAAAGTCCAACCATTAAGATTTAAAAAGAATATATATTACAGAAAAATAGCATTGTTCATGCCCGTCATTTCATTCTTGAACGCACAATCTCTGAACTCTCTCCTCTTTCCGGATAAATAAATGTTTAATTCTTAATTAATTTCCTAAAATTGGTCCTATTACCATTTATAATTTCAATGTATTTAAAAAAAACAACATATACTCATTCAATTAGTCATTTAATTTATATGGCATATGGCCCAGGATTTTTCTCTGATTAATTATTTTTTTAAAAGTCACGAACTTTCCAAGTACATGGCCATGGGCATGTGGGAATTATTAAAAATCTATTTTTAAATTTTAGGAACTTCCATTTTATCTTTTTCGGAGATCGGAAATTCAAAAGACTTCGTAATCACAATCTCAATCATATCAATTCGTTACCGTTATCATTTATCATTGTTATTGTCACCAACTGACATACTGACGTAAGTCATTTTCTCTATCCATCATCGCAAACTTCATCAGAATCAGATGTCCCAACTCAACAAAACAATTCTGACACTGACAACATAATTCGGGTAATTCAAACATCTTCTTTCTTTGAAAGTTTTTAGATTCGATTATTATTATTATTAATATAATATTATTAAATATTATTGAATTATTGAATTTGGACTCGAATGTCAGTAACAATAATTAGTCTTAGTAAATAATGATGAACTCATTGTTTATTGAAGGCCATTGGCATTTGAAATAAAATTGAATGAATGACAAATCTTAGAGTGTCAGTTTCAGTTAGTGCACTAGTGTACAGTACAGTCAGTACAGTTATCAGAGTCAATATGACAATAAATGACAATATGAATAATGTCAAACATTAGTAGGCATGGCCGCCAGCAGGGGGGGGGGCAAGTGGGGACACTTGCCCCCCCACTTGCCCCCCCCCCCCCGGATTGATTGGATAAACATTTTTTAGACAAAAAATGTATTAAAGTAAAGAGAAAATAAAGAGAAAGTAACTAAGCTGATTTCCTGCCCGTTCGTTCACCATACAAATACGCTACAGTAAATTAAAACTACATTAACACATTACTGAAAAAAATTTGCCCCCCACCCCCCCCAGAAAGACAAAGAAAGTTAATCGATTTTTTTTTGCCCCCCCCTAGAAAGTTTTCTGCGAGCGCCCATGTTAGTAGGCACTATCATTTTTCCCTTAAGTAAGCAGTAAGACATTAAGAATAGTAAGACTATTAAACTAATAATTAGTATTAAAATAATAAAAGAGTCCATAAGTCTAAGTCTAAGTCTAAGTCTAAGTCTAAGTCTTAGTCTAAGTCTAAGTCTAAGTCTAAGTCTGAGTCTACGCCCCCCACTTTTTTGTTGTTGCTGTTCCCACCAAATCATCAAATGTCAGATATGATATATATTATATATGTCACAAAATTTAGAAATAAATAATATTGTCACAAATTTGTGACACCCCTCCCACCTAGTTGCATAAGTTGGGCATAGCATTATTTATGGCATGGCCCTTTTACTTTTGGTAGAAAACTTATGATATTTTTTATTGACTAAGATTTTTGGTCATGTCCTTAAATTTATGCCTGATTATTCCTAGTAATTAGTTGCAAAAAAATTATTTTAAAATCTTTAACTTATTGTGACCAATAATTTTGTCACATTTTATTATGATAGTCTTTAAATTTTGTTAAATTAAATTCACGATGAGATACAAATAGCATGTATTCATTTATGGGGGTCCCAGAGTCATCATAGGGAGGCAAAATGATGCTCCTCCTTGAGTCCTTGTCAGAGATTTATTTCTGAGCTCTAGTATCTAGTACATTTATTAATTTTATTGTCCTATAAAATGGGTGAATAAATTTAAAACAAAATTTTTAGGCCCTTTTGTTGGCCAGTCCATGATTAATTTTTGAAATACCTCGACATGCTAAAACAAGTTTAGCTGTTAGATTTTTTTATTTTGATGAAGGAAAAGTACCAGTACTTTAAAATAATGTTTATTTATGATTAATAATATATATATTATAAAGGCCTACATGAGGACTAGATTACCTCTCTAGTCTTACTGTTGTCTCTTACAAACATTTCATCTTTTCTTTCTGTGATTCTCAAATCTCAATGCATCCACAACCCCCACCCTCCTCACCCGATCCGTCTCCACAAAAAAATTTATTTTAAAAATTCATTATATGGACTACCGGTACCTATTAAACCCAAACTTTATTCCAATTACTAATTAATAGAATTGGTGTTCATCTTTGTAAGATTACCCTCCAATTAATATAACCGAGTTCAGTTCCTCAGCTGACATGTACTTTTAGAGGGATGTTTTTAATGACTCCTGCCTTGTCTAATATTTGTGTTACAATATTTGAATCAACACCTGATCTTCAAAAGGCCTAGCAAAAAGTGTCCTTGTACCTGGCATTGTTTTTAACTTTTTACCAAGGCATTTCAATTCAAAATTAACCCAATAGCCCACACTCAATTTATTATTATCTAATTTAATTTAATTTATTTATAGGCTGTTAGGTAGATGAAAGCACTTTGATGAATTGCAAAATTACGCAGAATAAAGCCACAACGTCTAATCAAATGTGGGAAGGTTCATCAACAATATATTTGAATGCCCATATGCAGGGGGCTACATATATCAATACAAAGAAAAATTTAAAATTAAGTTTTTGAGAGTTGATCAAAAAAGATAATTTCATTATATCTATGCTTTTTGCATGAAAGTTTTACATTGTTATGATACAAAAATTGATACAAAATACAGACCTTACTTACTTACTATATATTTTTTAGAACTATGTACCCTATTGTGTATATTGATATTAATTAATTCTATCTCTCTCTATATATGTGCTAATAGGCTTTTAATTATTTAATTTTTATATGTAAAAAAGCTTATAAAAATGTAATTTGTTAAAATGTGCAGTTGATGCTAATAAAAGCAAGGTTAAGAAATCTATCCATGCTTGTGCTAAAAAATGGAAACTAATTTTAAAAAAATAAAATAATTCTACTATAATCTATTTACCATATGCCTAGCAGCATTCTGTTCCCTTGTTTTTCTAAATGTATCAATCTAATTGTACTGGTCCATTTGGATTGATAAGTAAATACTAGATGTCTTTCTTGAGTGGGCCCAAGTGAACCAGGGACATGTGCTTCCCAGTAACACATATGTCTTCCAGTAGCACATGCCTACTTTTAGCACATATGCCTCCCAGTAGCACTTAGGTCTCCCAGTAGCACATATCTCCCAGTAGTACATGTATCCCAGTAGCACATGTCTCCCAGTAGCACTTGTCTCCCAGTAGCACATATGCCACCCTTTAACACATTTGCCTCCCAGTAGTATATATGGCCCCCAGTAACACATATGCCTCCCAGCAACACATATCTTCCAGGATCACATAAGTCTTCCAGGAGCGCATAAGCATGCCTCCTAGTAGCACACATGCCTCACAGTAGCATACATGCCTCGCAGGAGCACATATGTCTTCCAGTTACACATATGCCTCCCAGTAGTACATGTCTGCCAGTAGCATGTGTGTCCCAAAGCGCATGTCTCCCTGTACCACATATGACTACCTGTAGCACATTTGCCTCACTATAGCACATATGCAACCCAGTAACACATATGCCTCCCAGTAGTACATATGCCACACAGTAGCACATATGTGTTCAAGGAACACTTATGTCTTCCACTTGCACATTTTCCTAACAGTAGCACCTATGCTTCCAAATAGGACATGACCAATAGCAGCACCCAATAGCAGCACATATGTCAGCCTTTAGCACCTTTGCCACCAAGTAGCACATATTCCACACATGCCTCCCAGTAGCTTATATGCCTCCCAGTAACACATATGCCTCCCAGTAGCACATATTTCTTCAATTTGCACATTTGCCTAACAGTTGCACGTATGCCAAACTGTATCGTATATATCTCCCAGTAGCACATAACATGCTTCCCAGTAGCGCATGTGTCTTCCACTTGCACATATGTCTAACAGTAGCACATGTGCCTCCCAGTAGCACATGTGCCTCCCAGTAGCACATGTGCCTTCCAGTAGCACATATGTCTTCCACTTACACATATCTCTAACAGTAGCACATATGCCTCCCAGTCGCGCATATTTCGTCCACTTTCACATATACCTTACTGTAGCGTAAATGTCCCCCAGCAAGCACATATGCCACCCAGTAGCACATATTTTTTCCAGGAACATATGTCTTACAGGAACAAACATGTCTTCCACTTGCACATATGCCTTACTGTAGCACATATGCCTCCCAGTAGCACATATTACATATGCCTAACAGTAACAGGAACACACATGCGTCCCAGTAGCACATATGTCTTTAAGGAGCACATGTGCCTTTCAGTAGCACATACGCCTTCCAGGGGCACACGTCTCCCAGGAGCACATATGTCTTCCAAGAGCACATTTGACTCCCAGTAGCACGCAATTTGAGAACTAAAAAAATCAGTCAAGTCTAGGATCGCATGAGTTTTAACTGTCAATTATAAAATAAAATCTCATGTTTATTTTAAAGAAAAATATCTATAATGTGTTATTGTTGCTATTAATCATTATTATTATTATTTTTTAATTATTGGGAGAGATGATTATTATTCATTTGACTGTTGTCTAACATTTTTCAAAGCCTTTATAGTCATAGATAAATCTTAACTTTACTTGTTAAAAATCTCTTCTGCAGATTTTTGAAGTACTATAAGTTCTGAGGTGATCATCAACTTAAAACTATTTAAATAATGGATGATAGAGAACTTGATATTCCCTTAAATGCATCGGGTAACATTTTAAAATTTTCTTACTGTTACTTTTGCTAATCTTATTGTATCGGTACTTTTTTTCTTGGTCAATGCGCAGTTAATATATGTTGTTCCCACTTTTGTTGGTGGATGCTAGATGTTCTCGGCGTGTAAATATTGCTGAATATTTTTGAAGCTATTACCATGTAGCATTCTGTGAATGTTGGATGTTCCTTGGGTGTAAGTATGGGGGAATTTTTTGATGCTCTCAATCTGTTAAGTTGTATGAATGTTTGATGTGCCTCGGGTGTCGTGATGGGGGGGGGGGGTATGTTTTGATGCTAATTTTAAGTAACTTTCCTTAACATTTTGAAAGATTGGACTTTAATAAGAGTTATTTTATTGTTTTAATAATGTGTTCAAAATACATAATTAAACTTTAATTTTAAAAGAATAATGTTATTTGTTTGCAAAGAATAATTACCTACGTATTATATTTTAATTATATTGTAGTTGTAGTAATCGTATTACCCAGCAGTTAATTTTAAATTTCGATACATATCTGCAATTTCTTATGATATGTCAAACTGTCAAATTAATAATTATTTTACAAAGTTAAAAAATGTATAGATCATCAATTTACAAATAATTTTATTTCATTATATTTTGTATTATATTTTAACTCCTGTTTTTCTGTTTTTTGACATTCATAAATATTTTAAGAAAAATAATTCTAAATGCAATCAGACCCCTTTTGAATGTATTTCTTCATGTAAAAAGGAAAGATATCTTTTTCCATTGACAGAAAATACTTTCAGGAAATATTTCAAATCAGCATATGACAGAAAGATTACTGATTTATATTAATGAAAAGATGTTCATGTCATCAAATTTTTTTCTATGTAATTTAAAAAATATGTCAGTACAAGTTTTTAAATAATTGGTCTCCAAAAATAATTTAAATTATCTTAAAAAAGAAATAGGTTGAAATTATTAAACAATTTATAGTTTCCAACATCATTTTAAACATTGTTGAAGTTGGCTATTTTGCTTACATTTACCATATTAGCCAGCCTACAACAAGTTAATGATCATTAAATTGAAATAATTGTTTTCTTTTACCCCTTATTTCCCCACCAAATTTATAACTTACCTTCACATTTTGTTTAAGTCTAAATGCCCAGAAGGGTTTTATAATTTGATTTTGCTCTCAGTCGTTCCTATAATTCAATACAACTTTTTTCTTTGACACTGATATTCTTTTCTTTTTTAAAATATAAATGTTTTTTTTACAAATTTTCTTTAGAACTGTTAGCCAGGATTAAAAAAGAAAGCATGGAAGTTCTTGTTAAATAATTTAATTTTTCTTGTAAATTAATTGGTAGAAATAACATTTGCAATGCTTGTTTTATTAATAAATTCTCTTATGTCCCAATATTGGTGAATGTCCAACATTGGTGAAAGTATGTATGTTCAAATAGCCTTGTCACCGAAAGAGGACTATATTTTAAATAAATGAACATCTTCCGACACCAAGTAAAAAAACTGTCTTAAAAACTTAGACATTGTATTAGTGTAAAGATACATGTTTTCTAGCTTAAAATGGAAATAATGTGGTCGATAAAAAATTATTAGTCACTAATGAGACTAAGGCCCTGAAATATTTTTTTCTTCTTCATTTGGTTGCAGGCAACATCAATGTGCATCAGGATACATTTTTGTGAGTAGTTCTTTTAAAAGCAATTTAAAATTTAAGGGAAAAACTTTTTTTTTGTCTTTATCTTTTATTTATCCCTTGGAAAAGCTTGAGCTTTTTGTATTCTCTGAGCTACATCAATAAAGCCAGCATAACTTCAAAAGAATATCCAAAGAACATGTTTCTATTAAAAACCTTCCTTTACGAAGTATAATAAAAAAAAATTTAAAAAATTAAATCAGAACTTAGCTTAGAAATTTGTAATAGCTTACAAAGTAGGCATATTACATTTCATATAACAATAAATGACTGTCTCTCAAAAGATTGAGATGGTATTAAATCTATTGTAACTATGACATCTTTATATTTTGGTTAAAAAATTATGACATTTTAAAAAATATCTAATAAAAATGAATTAATTTTCCTAACCAATTTGTCATGTCCTGGAAAATTGTGTTCAAACACAAATAACTTTGATTTTATCTTTATTAAAATATATACACAGGATGTGTGTCTTCAAGAGATAAGTTTGAAATAAACAAGTGATATAAGTAATTAACTTTCATAATCTCTTTACCCAGAACGAAAACAGCAGGCCCTATGGATCCAAGCTACAGTGAATATGATTTTTCACATCCCCGACGGGGTATTGCTGTAATTGTTGTCAATAACCAGATCGAGGGACACAAGGAGAAAAGAACAGGCAGCGAGAAGGACATGACCTTTTTTCAACATATGTTTACTGCATATGGATTTGAAATCCGTACTTTTTTTAACAAGAAAAGCCAGGATCTGTTAAAAGAGCTTCATAACAGTATGTTGTTTTTTTAATATTATTTTATAAGGAATTATTCACATTCCACTACATAATATTTCACTACATAAGACATATATTAGCATTAAGAATAGGAAATAACCTTAGACTTAAACAACTTTAAAAGAATTTTGTTTTGCTGTTTCTTAGTTATAAAAATTGTTTGAAAAATTATTTAAAAAAATGTTCCAATGAAATTATTGAAATGCAATTAACTACAATTTCAATGATTAATGACTCATTAACAAAAATTGCGTGTTCAGATATGGTAGGAGGATCTCTTTTATGTGGCAGTCACTAGGCAGAGAGGCTGTCGTGGTTTATTGAGCCAGAACTACTATTGAATCAAGAGAAAACATTATGTGTTACTTCCTTAGCATGAATTATGGGAATATTTAAAGTATTTGTCCATATGATACAACAGGCATTTTGACTGAAATCCTTCTTTGGAGAAAAGAATGAAGAAAGTTTTGTTTTGTTCTTAATATTTATTTTTAATAGCAGTGCTGGCTTAAATTCTGTGCATTTAAAAATGATCATGTTATTTTAGTTTCCAAGGAAGATCACTCTGAAAATGACTGTTTTGCCTTGGCCATTTCAACTCATGGCGAGGGAGTGATCGAAAGGAATACCAGCAGAGAAGATGTCATCTACACCACTGATCAGACTATCAAAGTCAGATATCTTCTTGAGTTATTCACTGATGAAAAATGTCCAACCCTCAAAGGAAAACCAAGAATAGTTTTTATTCAGGTTTGTAAGCTACTCTTTCATTTCTTGTTTGATTTAAAAAACTTTATGGTATATCAGAAACTAATGTATGATAGCAGAGTAATTTTTCTGGGACCTAGCAACCCCTGCAGCTGCAGTGGGTCTCATATTTATGGGGCCCAAAGTTAGTATGTGGAAAAAGAACTTTGAATGCAGGGGTACAAAGCTGAATATTGGTAGGGGGCATAAGTCACACAGCTCTGAATGATTTAAACCACAACTTTTACTTTACTGTGTAGCAAAGAAATTAGTCAGATGAGTGATCAATGATTTAAAACCTAATATTCTTGCACAAATTTATGGTCAACTTTAATTTGTAACTTAAAAAAAAATTTTTTAATGGAAATCTTAGATTGCGGAATTCATTTAAAGAGCTCTTTCAAACTACTGCTTCCTTACACATTTTTAACCCTATTTATTTTACAAACATTTAAAGACAGTATTTGTTTTATTTTGTGCTCTCTTTCCAGGCGTGCCGCGGGGAAGAATTGGATGATGGAGTGACGGTACATTTATCAACGTCCACCAGTGTTCAGAACGCAGATGAGGAGGACATGACAGACCTGTCATCCTACACTGCACAAAAACAGGTTGTGCAGCAAGCTTCTGATGATGCAGATGCACTTCCAAGCATTGCTGCCATTCACAGGCATGGACCAGGGCGACATAATTTTACAGTGCAACCGAAGCCTACTTTGTAATTATCATTTTGGGTTTATGTTTACTACTATTAGTTAAAAAAATATATAATCTTTCCTGTGGGGCAGCAAGCCATGTGCATATACTTTCTGTTTATATGTATGCATGGTTTTAATCTGACATTTATGTGACTTATGCAAGTTAACTTAAATCTTAGTTTATAATATTTTCTCTCTCTCAGCTATACATGAACTGAGCAACAAATATGCTAAACATAGTGAGGAAGAACATTTTGAAAAGAAGGATAATTTTAAGTTCAAGGAATTCATTTAAATTCTACCTGGAAAAATTACCCCATGAACATATTAGATGAATCAAGTGAACATAAGAGACAAATCAAATGATTTAATAATGGTACTTTGCCGAAATTTCCTCAGAGTGTCACAGCAAGTAAGACAAACCCAAGTATACAGCTATTCAGGTTACACACAGGAGGAGGTTTACGTAGTTCCTGCACCTTGCTATGATGATTTCCTTGTGATGTATGCCACGCCCCCAGGTGATTGTCAAATAATTTTTTTTAATAAGAAAATAATGACATACTTTCTATGTTTATAAAATTTAACTCTTGTTAGAATGTCAGAACAATAAAAAAAGATTTGATGCTACATTAAGAAAACAACTAATTGGAATGATTAAAATGACTTTAAAAGAAGCCAAATCTACAAATCATTCTCAAAAGGAAGAAGGAAGATTTGATAGGAAGTTTTAATTTTTAATTAAGGGATAAGTTGCTAACATAGCGCTGCTATGGAAATGTAGTAAAGACATATAGAAACCTGTTATTGGATTAGAAGAGGCATCACTACAAGCAGGGCTGGAAGGTAACAACCAAAAAAAGAAAATGCATGACTATGATAAGAGAAGAACATACAGATGAAACCATTAAAATTAGAAACCGCACTTTTGAAAAATTAAATCAATTCAAATACCTAGGATGGAAAAGTTAGGTCGGACTAGAAGGAAGTGGGGAGGCAGGCCAAAGTCTTACATAAGTTGTAGTGCCACAGGGATGGGATGGATAAGTTGCTAAATTTATTTTTGTTTTAAGAATAAATTGAAATTTTCATTTAAGTAAATTCTGATACCCAGTAATTGAGAAATTAATTGCCATATTTTATGTTATAAAGCTTTTTGCTTCTGACTTGTTTAAGAGTAAATTTGTCATTCTTTTCTATTCCACAAGTAATTAAGTTATTTATTTTCATAATGCCACAAGTAATTAAGTTATTTATTTTCATAATGCCACAGGCTATTTTGCATTTCGGCGTACAACAGAGGGCTCATGGTTCATAAAAAATCTGGCAGAAGTTTTACTACAACCTGGTAGGCGGAGCCTCCTGCGGGAACTGACTAGAGTGATCCGGAAAGTGTCCCAAAACATGGAATCTAAAAATAGTGATAAAAAATATGATGCCAAAAAACAGTCCCCCGTGATATATTCCAAACTTATCAAGGACATTTATCTCACACCAAAGAATGGAAGTGAATATTGACCTTAAGTGCAAATTTGTCAACCCAATAATCTGTGTTGTGCTGTGAAAGTCACAAAGAGCTAAAGCCCTAATAAAAACATCAAAGCTGCTAAGATGAACCTTATTAGCTCGTTGGATGCGGAGCAATGCACACTGCGTTCATCCTCCGTTCTCAAAAGCACGGACCAACGCGCTGTACTTTGTTTCAATATCATGTTTGTTTCTATGCTATTTCTCGGTTAAACTTTTTAAGAGCTATTTTTAAATAAGACTTTACATAGAAGAGGAGTACTTCAATGTTTATAAGCAAAACCAAGGTTTATTTATTGTCATTTGAAGCATTATTTTAATGATTTTCTTCAATTTTTTTTTCTACTGTTGCTATGGCTACTCTAGGCCCTAATAGCCTAAAGATTAACAGCTCAAAAAGCTTTGGAATTGTTTTATATTATTTCTTTTGATAGTGAAGATGATTTATATTTAGATCCAACGCATGATTCTGATAGTTGTAGTTTTAGAGGATTTGAGTTATAGAAGTGAAATTGAGGTATGGGTCTATCATAGGGTTAGGGAAAAAATGGTTTAGAATAAAATGTTTTCACATTTTACTGTTCTTTTCTGTAACTTATTTTATTTAAACTGAAGAAATAAGTTTACAAACATATAGTCCTTTTGATTATCTTTCATTTGATATAAAGTTTTGTCTTATAAATTAAAGAACAATATTTTTAAAATTTTTAAATAAACCCAACCTCTTACTCTTTTTCGCTCTTTGACAAAAATGTACATTTTTTCGATGAAAAAATTCCGAAGCCAAAGAGTTAGAATAATTTTGTGTCTTGTGTTCAGGAAATGTGTTTAGACTTCAGTTGCTGTAGGTTTAGTTCTTTTGCTGTAAGTCTAGTTCTGTTGCTATAAGTCTATTTCTGTATCTCTAAGTCTAGTTCTGTGTCAGTTGTCACACCAATAGTATGGAAGCAAATCCTTTTAATTAAGAAAAGGAGAACAAAAATAATATCAGTTTCCAGTTAATTTGTATACATTTTACTGTTTGCATGAATACAATGAATTGCTATACTGAAGTGTACATGAATACAATGTTATATTATTAATATTATAGTGCATATAAATACAATGAGTGCTATACTGTGGTGTACATGAATACATATAATTTACTACACATTGTTACGCACTGGCTTCTTTTGTGAGAAATTAATCTCCTATTTTAATTTTATGGCTCGTTCAAACAGTGTCTAACAAAGGACGATACTATAGAGAAATTCAATAACAAAAATACGACAACCAAAACAGTTGCCAATTACAATTAGTAAGATTTAATTTAGTAATAATACAATTACAAAACAAAAGAAAATATAATAACAAATCATCAACTTACAGAATATTGGAAATCTTGTACCGGTACACAATTAGTACAATGTGCCAATTAATAATGATGGATGCAAATAAACACATATGAGCACACAAAGAATAATGCAATTCTCTCAAAAAGTTATTAATATATATCTGAATCTCTCTCTCTCTCCGTGTCTGTCAATCCCTTTATATAAGCAGCGTAAGCCCTGCCTTCCAGAAGCTACTTAGCATTTGTTTACATTTCTCAGCAAATCAAAAACAAGAGACAAGGAGAGAGACTAACCATGTTTAATTGGTCGTCGGTAGTAAACATGATACATCAAAGAGATTAACCACGCCCATAACAAACGCTACCGTCTGCTAGGCATCTAATGTGGGGTGAAACAAAGTTCAATCATGGGGAAAAAGTGTACTACATAACAACATAATGCAGATTTACTTGAGGTGCTTCCCTAAAAGAATTTCTATTTCTTCAATATTTCTTGTTAATGTTTTTTTTAATTTTGTCTTTTGTATCAAAAATTATGGAGAGCACAAAAGAAAAGCAGCTTAAGCATTAACTTTGTTTTCTCGTGTCTATATGGAATGCCTTACTATGTCCTCGGGTAGTGATCTTTCAAAGGAACAACACAGAGTATTTTTCACACCCTCTTGTCATATAAAATGAGTGTTCTGACAAAAATATTAATTTACTGCAACCAATTCTCTGAACTTATTTTAAGATTTTACAGTACAGGAAATCAATAATGAAACAGTGTAAGATTTTAAAAATAAATAATTTCATAATAAAAATTCAATTGTTATGAAGAATTTTTGAAAAAGTGCTTGTAATTACCATGCATTGCAAATTTTAAATTGCAATAATTTTTAAAAATATAAGCTTGCTAGTTGTAAAAATAAATAAATAAAAAAATACACATCAAACTGATTGGATCAAAATATTATCTTTAACATAATTAATTTATCTATTCAGTTTGAATACATTAGATTTTATGGCCTTATATTTTACAAACAAATAAATCTCCGTAAGAATTGAAACTTACAAAACTGTAAATATTGTAGTCAGTTGATTTAATTGTATTACTTTTATCGTCTAGAGCAGTGGTTCTCAACCTTTCTAATGCTGCGACCCTTCAATACAGTTCCTCATGGTGTAGCGACCCCCAATCACAAAATTATTTTCGTTGCTACTACATAACTTTAGAGTATGTGTTTTCCGATGGTCTTAGGTGACCCCTGTAAAAAGGTCGTTTGACCTCCAAGGGGGTCGCTTCCTACAGGTTGAGAACTGCTGGTTTAGGGTATTTGTTTTAAACTTACTTTAGAACTTAAAAAAAAAAAAAATGATATATTAAAATATTTAAGAAAAGAAAGTTGTTCCTTAATATTACAAAAATGAATAAATTCAGCAGCTTTGGAAAACCCTTCATGTTTTCATTGGCCAAGACAATTTGGTCATTATTTCATAGCACATATTATAATATAGTGATATTCATATTATTTGTTGGCCATACATTTATGAAGTAAAACAGCCAGAATATGCTGTTTGCTCTTTTAATAATTTGCAAGAAGTAGATGTGAGAGATATGATAGGACATTTCTGGATTAATGTATCAGCATTTCAGTGATAATTCTTTGAACACAAATTAGAGAAATGACAAAATAATATTAAAAATATCAAGTGTCATTAAATTTTTTTTGAATAAATGTCTTAAAAATTGACTAATTTGAAAGATGAGAGCAACAGCTAATAGAAACCCAATTGACATTTATATTATTATAGACAAAGGATGATATGCAGACACGGATCGCGTTGTACAAAGGGATGTTCTTACTTACTTTTTTGAACCCCCCACTTGTACGTACAAGAAGCTTTTAGCCCCCATCCTCATAAAATCATTTTTTAAAAACAATTTAATACATACTTTTGACGTCACATGAATAAAAAATGTGTTGAGGGTTTATACCGCCGACAGTTTGGCCAGCCCAGCGGTTCCCATAATATGCGTCGATCGGGGTGCTATGTTTCCCTCAGGCAGAGCCATGAGAATGGGGCAAAGAGGGCAGTCACAGCGGGCGCCAAAATCTTCTTTAGATAGGATTTTAATAGTGAATTAAAATACCAAATCCCATATACTTCAGAAAGGGGGGGGGGGGGGTATTTTTTACTGATCCGCCATGGGGGCACTTTTTTTATTTAAAGTGGGACCATTTTCGGGCTTCGCCCCAGGTGCCAGAGGCGTAGCGTGGTGGGGGCAGATGTCCATGGGCGCCAGCTAGTTAGGGGTGCCAAAATGTGCTTTGATGTTATTTTATTGATGAAAATAATGGGTTTGAGAGTTGAAAAAAAAAGAAAAAGGGGCGCTAAAAATGGATATTGTCCCCGGGCGCGAATCTTGTCCCCGGGCGCCAAACACCTTTGCTACGCCACTGCCAGGTGCAGTATTTCCTTTACAGCGAACAAATAACAGTAAAAACAGAATAAAATAAAAATAGCACTTAACTGGAAAGTAGTATCCGTGGAGGGCGGCAAAAGAATGGTGAAAACATTAATTTGGCATAAGCGCCGGGAATCGAAACATTCATTATAAGAACCACTGAACTACCAAATTGAAGATATGAAGATACAGTGGACGAAATATTACAGTAATACTGCTACTACTGAGTACTATTGAAGCGATATCTGGCTAGTTCATTTGTGAAAAAAATAGCAACATAATGACGATAATTCCTAAAAAACATTGCGTGATATTTTTACACCAGTGGAGATATAAATATGCTATTTTTGCCCACTCAAATGCAGCTGAAACTATTCACTGCGCTGGCCTTTGAGAAGAAATAAGATACTACTAACACAAATGGCAAGTCGGCGCTGCCAAAAGTACGAACAAATACGGACGCAAAAATTAGTACGGACAAGGGGGTCGAAAATACAAACTGTCCGTACTAAATACGGACGTCTGGTAACCCTAGGGTATACTATTTTTGGCATTGTTGATAGTGATGCATCCGTAATAAACATCCAAGTCGGGCATAGTTACCGATTACACATTAAAAACTAAAAATGCTTTCAATATTTTTTTTTTTACAACTCAAATCAATTTAATTTGCTTTTCAACCGAAGATCCATTAGCCATAAGACTATAGAGTAGTACCGAGGACCCTTCGTAACCTCCAAATATGAGCTCTACTAACTTAATACTGTTCTGTTACGTAGCTAGTTACTAGTTCTTTTGCTGCGGTCTCGGCTACTTCTCAGCTAAGTGCTATATTTATTTACATTTTAAAATATTTTATTTTAAAAATATTATTATTTTTTTTTCTGTCGTTTGTTCGCTAGCTTCCTGCCGACACGTTCATTGTTTTGTCTCATTTCCTACGTAGCTAGGTTGGGGCAATACCGGGCGAAATGGGGTGGCTACTGGCAACCTTCGTGGCAGGGCTACCACACCTTGGGAAATTTCCCAAGATCTTGGGAATTCACGACCCCCCTTGGGATCTGAGGAATAATTTTGAAAATCAGGCAAAACCTTGGGAAATCTTATCTGGGGGGAAATTTTGTTATATTTTTCGAAAAACACAACAATATCTGATAAAAAATAAAGTGAAAATAAAGCAAAATAATTTTTAAAGTAACAAGACAAAAAATTAATTGTTTTCATTTTCTTTTCTGGTTTTAATTTTTAAATCCACTCATAAAATAAATAAAAACTCTTCTGATATTAAAGTTAATATTGTGAGTTATTAAAAAGTCAGTTAATAATTTTTTAAAAAAGTTCAATTTTCTCTTTTTTTAAAAAAAAAAAAAATTAAGATTTACAAATTACATCCAGGTTTTGAATGTTTATTAAATGGGGGGCGGGGGGGGGGGGTTAGGATCGGAAACTTTATCATTATGCTCTTAGACATTAGCAACCATACGAAAAACAGTACAAGCCAAAGAGTGAACGATGGTGTTCAATCAAGAATCCATGCCACAATAAAATTTGATTATTTCAATTACTTCTACAATGTGTTAAAAAAAATAATGCATCTGTAAAAAATCCAGCCTAATTTTCATAAATTAGAAAAAATATATTTGTGGATTGAAACACGGGTAACTAAGATATTAATAGTATAGGCCTACGTTGTAGGATTAAAATGAACAATTCCTTTAAAAGTATTTTTTTTTGTGTGTGAAAAAATCGTTATAATGTAAATTTACAAGAACAAATAAAAATACGTATTGTTTTCATCATAATATCAATCCATTTTAACTACAATTATTATTAATAAATTTTGCTTAATTGCTTTGCAAACCCCACTTCTAATCAACAGATTTATAATAATAAAAAATCATTTTTTGATGAAGAACCTTTTGCCTTTTTTAAAAGGAATTCTGTGTTGGTTAGCCGTGTATGCTTTTTTTCCAAGTGACTTCTATTACACATGTATTGTAGATGATATTTTTACCAGAGAATTCGGAGGTAATATTTAGTAGCCTAACTCCAGTGGGTATTGATATTTTGGATTATAAATTTTTTTTTTAAAAACAAATTGTTTTTTTTTAAATGTGATAAACATGTTTTAAATGTCTTTTTCAATAAATTTCAGTCAATTAATGTACCATGTTTTTCAGGGGCATTGATTCAATCTATTATTACATTAATTACACTGAAAAGCCCCCTTTAAAAAAAAAAACCTCTTATATATATTTTTATGATCTTGGGAAATCTTGAGAAATTTGTTCACCAAATCTTGGGAAATTTAAAAAAAGTGAGTGGCAGCCCTGCTTCGTTGCTCCTTTACGGAATAACGGAAATTCCCATACCACTTGAAATAAACTAGTTGACTTGTTGAAGTAAAGATTTCAAGTTGTAGAACTAACTTTTTTGTTGTTAGTTGTCATTTACCCCACATTGTCAGTTTCGGTAATACATTATGTAAGTCTTAACGATTGAAAATATAATTAAATAATAGTTGAAGTAAAAAAAATATGTAGGCCTAATAAAAAGATAATAAGTTAGAAAGCTACCCCCCCCCCTCCCGCCTCCTTACTTAAATACGTCTGTGTTTTTTGTTTTTAAACGAAAAGAGTAGGATGTGTTAAGAATAAAAAAATAAAATGAGTAAAACAGAGTATTTGTACTAACCTGATTGCAGTCTCTCCCCTTATTACCCTTTAATAATAAAAAATTGGCAAATTTTATTTATTATTATAGTTACTAATGATAATAATGCCAATGCGAAATGCTGTACTAGACTAGGAGGAAACGTTGTATTGTGAAAATGAAAATGAAAGTAAAGGCTTTCCCATGCCCATTGCTAATTAAATTAATTTTTTTTTTCAAAATTGTTTAAATTAATATTTATATATAATAATGATAAAATAGTAATTTAATAATATACGATTATACGAGAATACCAGTGGTATGACTTCGATATGATTCGGGAATTGCCGAAAACCGGGTATTCATGATTTCGTTATCAAAATGGCGACCTCCACTTTTTGATTTACCGAGGGTAGTGTTGTAGCAGATTTTTTTTGCTAAAGTTAGTTTTGTTATTAAATTCTATTTCCGCCATCAACTTAAAGCAGACATGTTTGTTGTTCATTTACCGACACTTTTCTTTAAGAAAAAATTTGATGGTTTGACTTTGAAAATTAATGGTAAATTAAATAATAGCTAATTTGACTCATTCATAATTTTTTTTGGGGAAAATATAAGTTTAAGAAAATACCAATGTTAGATGTAGGCATTAATGAAAACATATATAAAATTCTTGAGGTTAGGACCCCGCCATGGGTGAGAAATTTTTGTGCAAAATTTTTGTCACATGTGTCTCAAAATTACCTAAAATCGATAATGAACTTTTTGTAGTAAGTAACTTGGTTTACAGTGGAAATCCAGCATATTACTATTACCCACTAATAACTAATTTTGAAACAAAGCAACAATTTAATAACACAAATACTTATTTGTAATATTATCTGATGCTTTTATTTTGAGGTATAATAATTGGGGGAGTGGGATAAATAACCCTAGACAGCCTAGGGCCTAGTCTTAGTATTATTACACTGATAGTAGGCCTATATATATATTAAACCATTCTATTGGATCTATACAGCTCTAGTATTTTTATATTTTTAAAAATGTTTTGAAATTTTAATCAAAATATTATTAACTATTAACTATACTATATGTGATTTCGATATTGTCATTCGAAATTGGCCTACTAAGTTTAAGCCTCAATTAAAAAAAATAATATAATTACTTTAAAAAAATTAATAGTAAAATTAATAGGCTTCTTCAACCTAATTTCTAATTAGTATATCAATTCTCACTATTCACTATCATAACTAGGCCGATACTCTTTTAAAGAATATTAATAGATTTTTCATCATTTATGAAATGATTTTTATTTTAATTTTAGTTTAACCTATGGTCCTATACTGTCCTAAGTGTCCAATACTATAATTTTTCTAGGGGATTAGGATTATCTATAACGAATTAATGAATTAATAGTCATGAGAATGTTTGCCGTGGCAGAAAAGGTTATGCAAAGGGATGAAAAAGTATATATATACTATACACATTTTTTTGTGTGTGTATTGTATCTCATTTATTTATGAAACCAAAGTGTACCATTTTCAGGCTTTCCCCAGGGAGTAGATGTTCCTTCGCTCAATCCAAAGCTACGAGTATTGTTCCCACGGACGATTCCGCTCAATAGACCTACTTCAGCATCTCACTGTTACTACTAGATAATGACAATAGTGAAATTTACTATCAAGATACAGATTCTTAGATATGGCATCATATTGCCTAGTAACTAGAAATATATTGCTTGTTCATATTATTGTAAATTGTATGTGTGTTTTTTTATATTTGAAATATTGAAAATTTCACTTTTTTTTATCACTTAGATTTGGAAAATATAGGCACTATGCAGGCTCACATCTACTAGGAAGAAAGGAATTTTATTACAATCTGCTAAATGGCTTGCAGGTATTTTTTTTTTTGCATTGTGTTAACATTGTTAACATACTGTGTTGCAAAGCTTGAGATAACCTGATTTGTGTTGTGTCAAGGATACATACACAAAAAGAGTCATTCAATCAAATAACAACCTTAAATTTATAAGTTTAAATGCTCTTCACAGTGGAATAAATATATAATAATCGTTTAGTATATATTAGAGTTGTTCAATGGTGGTCTCACTAGGGTTAATGTCTGCCACTGTGGCAAACTCATGGTATCACTCTCTACAGAATATACCCTTGGACCTTTTCAGAGTCTGGCTGGTCAAGTGATAACCTGCTCTGGGGGCAACCATCTCTTGGGGCAACCTTCTCTAAGACTTCTCTTGCAATTAACTTTAACTATGTGGGTGTTTACTTCCTTGACACAACACAAATCAGGTTATCTCAAGCTGTGTAACTTATGAAGCTGTTCGAGCAAACTCAGTTTATTTTCCATTTTTCAGTTTTAGTGTCACAAACACCATGGAAGATGAACCAGACGCTTTAGTGGTTCAACAAGTTCTTTGGACACACCCTAGTGATGCTACTTTTCTTTAAAAAATCATATAGGCATACATTTAGTAAATAATTTGTTAGTTTTAATCTGAGTACTACTAATTATATATTGTTTTGGTTTTCTTTAATTTGTTGTGAATCTTCATTAAATTAATCAGACATTATCACTGTTTTTTTCTTTCCTTTTCTGCAGTATATCTGCTGGTTTCTTGGAAACCAATGACCAAATGTGTTACAAGTTTTCACACAGTCGACGTGGCATAGCGGTAATAATTGTGAACAACCGTACAGGAAATGAGAACATTAGACAAGGCAGTGAGAAAGACACAACATTCTTACAGCAAATATTTAACCATTATGGGTTTGAAATTCGTACATTTTGTAATATGAAAAGCAAAGAGTTACTCAGTGGACTTCTAAGAAGTATGTAATTTTTAAAAAAAATTCTTAAAACAAAAAATTATTATGAGAAGTCTCAACTGTTGATTTTAATTAATTGTAAGAATTTTTCTATGATGAAAATATAAACGTTATTGACCCATAAAAAATAGCTAATACGTGGTGAAAGTATGGATGTAAAAATATTAATTGACAGTTGACATCACATAAGCTTTGCTTTCCTTTTCGTTCCCATAAAACTAATTCTGATGCATTAAGTTTTGCACTCTTTTGAACTTTTTGGAACTTTTTTAGCACTCTTTAGAACCTATTTACATCTGTAACTTCTGTAAAAAATTTTTTTAAAATATCTCAAAAGTTTCCAGAGAAGATCACTCTGAAAATGACTGTTTTGCTATGGCCATCTCAACTCACGGAATGGAGTCTTACGGTTGCGGTACAAATGGGACAAGAGAAGATGTCATAGAAACTCAAGATGAATTGATCCCAGTCAGATTTCTCCTCAAGTTATTTACTGATGATAAGTGTCCGAGCCTACAAGGAAAACCACGATTAGTTTTTATACAGGTTTGTCGCACAAAAAAGTGTGTTTTATGTCACAAACAAAGTATGTCTCCTGTCACAAAAAAATTATGTCTTCTGTCACAAAATATGTCTTCTATAATGCAACAATTTGTGCGGGACAAAAAAAAATTAAAACCACCCGTGTTAAATGAAGCCCACAATTTTAAATTAAGACCATTTTTGGTAAACTTAACATGTGGCTTAAAATATTTTGTTTCTCACTTAAGACATTGCTAAAAGTGCTTTTTATGACATTACTAAAAGTGATTTTTATGACATTACTAAAAGTGATTTTTATGAGATTGCTATAGGTGCTTTTATGACATGGATAAAAGTGCTATAATGACAGGGCTAAAGTGCTTTTTATGACATTACTAAAAGTGATTTTTATGAGATTGCTATAGGTGCTTTTATGACATGGATAAAAGTGCTATAATGACAGGGCTAAAGTGCTTTTTATGACATTACTAAAAGTTCTTTTTATGACTTTGCTAAAAATGCTTTTATGACATTGCTAAAGTGCCTTGTATGACATTACTAAAACTGCTTTTTATATGTTTCTCCATAAAAAGTAATTTCATTTTTGTTCAAGAATGCTAGGCTTTTCCTTTTCGTCCCCTTTAAACTTAAAAGATTCATTTCAAATTAATTGTTATTAATTGGTTTAAAGACGGTCCACAATAATGTTAATAAATCTGAGAAGCACCATTTTAATATTCTATCAATTTTGGCTGCCTACCGACTTATAATTATATAATTTATATATATTTTTTTACCTTTTCAAACATTCTATGATGAGCCACACTCAAATGCACTTTTTCTATTATGCATTTGAAATTATTTTTGAAATAGTTCAAGTACAAATATTTCATTATCTTTAACTTAGATTTTTTCGTAATTTAAAATTATAGTTGAAAGTTTAGCCCCCATTTACTTTTAAAATAGTTCATCTTTGCTCCCACCCCTTATGTTCATTGTAGTTATAGCCATCTTTGCTCCCACCCCTTATGTTCATTGTAGTTACAGACCTGTTTACTCTTACGATTTTGGCGTACAATGTACGATTTTGAGGTGTATACATTATATTAAATATACATCACGTTTTTGCTCTATAAAGAGAATGTATTGAACGATTATATGATATTGTACGATTTTAAGGGTTTGAGGGTAAACAAGTCTGTAGTTAGAGCCATCTTTGCTCCCACCCCTTATGTTCGATGAAGTTATAGCCATCTTTGCTCCCACCCCTTATGTTCATTGTAGTTATAGCCATCTTTGCTCCCACGCCTTATGTTCATTGTAGTTATAGCCATCTTTGCTCCCACCCCTTATGTTCATTGTAGTTATAGCCATCTTTGCTCCCACCCCTTATGTTCATTGTAGTTATAGCCATCTTTGGTCCCACCCCTTATGTTCATTGTAGTTATAGCCATCTTTGGTCCCACCCCTTATGTTCATTTTAGTTATAGCCATCTTTGCTCCCACCCCTTATGTTCATTGTAGTTATAGCCATCTTTGCGGTCACCCCTTATGTTCATTTTAGTTATAGCCATCTTTGCTCCCACCCCTTATGTTTATTGTAGTTATAGCCATCTTTGCTCCCACCCCTTATGTTCATTGTAGTTATAGCCATCTTTGCTCCCACGCCTTAAGTTCATTGTAGTTATAGCCATCTTTGCTCCCACGCCTTATGTTCATTGTAGTTATAGCCATCTTTGCTCCCACCCCTTATGTTCATTGTAGTTATAGCCATCTTTGCTCCCACCCCTTATGTTCATTGTAGTTATAGCCATCTTTGCTCCCACCCCTTATGTTCATTGTAGTTTTAAGCTGTAACATCTGTGGGTTTTTTTGATGCAAAAAAAAAGTACTGTTGTAATTAGTGTGGGGAATTAGTTCTCAAATACTCTTTGGAGGCTTCCTTTCATCACACACGCGTTCTTCACCTCCACTATGAAAAATATCAAGTCGCGTTGTTACACAACGCTCATTATTGTCTTACTCACAGTCAAGACATCAAACAATATGATATCCAATGCTGGCTGCTTCAATATATGCTTGAATGATTGTTTTAAGTCTGCTATCCTTCTTTATTCACTATCTTTCAACAATCGTGGTTGCACCATGCTTCTTCTCTACTCTAGTTCTAAGTCTCGTCTTCCTCGAGATTCTGAAAATATCCTTCAATTACTGAGACGTTTCTATAGCCATCTTTGCACCCACCCATTATGTTCATTGTAGTTATAGTCATCCATTCACCCACCCGCAGAGAGAATCAGAACCACTTTGAATTCTGATGATTAAATGGTCTTGATCGATTTCGACTGAGGAACTAACATAACCAGTATTAATAACTTTAATTGCTCTTATATATGTCACCGTCCAGGCATGTCGTGGTCAAGAACTGGACAATGGGTTAACAATAACTTGTACATCACCAAAGGCCGATCTCGAAGCTGCAGGTGATGCATTAATGGACGCTGTGCTGCTGAAAGAAAGATTGAACCCTGGACAGGATGACACCGATGCCCCTCCACACAGTCATGACACAGATGGACCAAATTCAAATAGACTTTATGATGCAGAAGAATCAATAAGGTAATACAGTTTTTTATGATGTAGTCCTTACTCCAGCAAAGCAATCAATAAGGTAATGCAGTTTTTCATAGAGTAAAGGCTATTTTTATCCAATGTTTACAAAGAACCCAACAAAACTGTTCGCAGATGACACTGCAGTGTATAGGACGATCGCCAACAGATCGGACCAGGACCAGCTACAACAGGATCTCAATCTGTTAGCTGAGTGGGAGATAAGCTGGGACATGGAATTTCATCCTGCTAAATGCCAGACACTATCAGTCTCTAGAAGTTGTACTCCTCTACACTACCAATACGAACTGCACGGCCATATACTTGAGCCAGTTTCCTCCGTAAAGTACCTGGGTGTTACCATTCAAAGAGAGGTCCGCTGGGACGAGCATATTAACAATGTATGTAACCAAGCAAACAAGACCCTAGGGTTCTTAAGGCGAAATCTAAAGATTGGCAACTCCTGTGTGAAAGAAAGAGCATATAAAGCCTTTATTCGTCCGATTTTAGATTATGCATCTTCAGTCTGGGACCCATTTACCCAGAAGAGCATTGACAGGTTGGAGGCGGTCCAGCGACGAGCAGCACGCTTTGTCCTAAACCGCTACAGGAATACCTCTAGTGTTGGAAGCATGCTAGAAACACTAGGCTGGTCACCATTGGAGAAACGACGACGACAATCCAGGCTCTCCATGATGTACAAGATAAATAATGGGCTGGTCCACTGTTCCAGTATTAAACAGAAACTCGTCCCTCTAAGTGTTGGCAGCATGCTAGAAACACTAGGCTGGTCACCATTGGAGAAACGACGACGACAATCCAGGCTCTCCATGATGTACAAGATAAATAATGGGCTGGTCCACTGTTCCAGTATTAAACAGAAACTCGTCCCTCTCCCCCATAGACAGCGACGAGGCCATGACAGGCAATTCAGGCTCCTACCAGCAAGAAGCCAGTATAGGAGCTGCTCATTCCTGCCCAAGACAATCAGGGACTGGAACAATCTTTCAAAAGGAACGGTTGAGGCGACAACACTAGACACATTTGTGTCTATTGCCTCCAGCCTTCAAACCCCTTGTGCATGATTTCCTCATCAACACCAGTAACAGAAACATTGCAAATCCCATCTACATGCATAGGAGCCAAAATGATCAATAAATTGATCGTGGGCCCTTAAGATATAGAAGAAGAAGAAACTTCTAACTTTTTATTTATGACTAAATTTGAAACTGAAATTGAGTACTCAGATTTTTCCATCTGAGAATGATTGGTTTCTATAAAGGATTTTGGTGTTTTGTGTTAATTTTTCCACTTTGATTCCTAATTAACATACTATCTCTTAACAGTATCCAATATCTGCATAAGTTTTGTAATAATCTCATTATATTGTTGTTCAATTTCTTTTTCTACCTTTATTAAAATATTAATTTTATTTTGCTTTTTCTTCAGTGCATCAGATACAACAGATGGGAAAAAATCCCTGTCTGACATTTATATTGCTCCTGCTCCATGCTATGAACATTTCCTCGTTATGTATGCCACACCCCCAGGTATACTATGAACATTTCCTTTTTATGTATGCCACACCCAAAGGTATGCTATGACCATTTCCTTTTTATGTATGCCACACCCCCAGGTATGCTATGAACATTTCCTTTTTATATATGCCACACCCACCAGGTATGCTATGAACATTTCCTGGTTATGTATGCCACACCCCCTGGTAATTGTAAAAAAATTCCATATGTATAACAGAAGTGATTATATGTTGTAAATATTTTACTATTGCTACAATGTGTTATAAACTCCTTTGTAATTCTGAATCAGCGCCACTTTTGAAGCACACATGTAACCCCAAGAAGTACACATGCAACCCCTTGAGGCACATGTGCAACCCCTTGCATCAATTAAGATGAATAATTATTGAAACTGTGTGGAAATGAATGCCAAAATTTAAATTTTAGTCCTAAAAAAAACTGCTTAGAGAAGGTGATCAATAAACTATGTTGATTTCAAAGCTATGAAGTACCAAATTTTCTTGCATAAAAGACTCACCCAATCATAAGACGCACCCATATATAAGACGCAGGTTTTGACAATTTGTGTCAACAAAAATGACATAAGATGCACATGGCCTAGCCACCTGCAGACCTGCCAACCCTTCGGATTTTGTTGGAATTATGCAGATTTTTTACCCCTTAAAATTTCGATTTCCCGAACATTATAAAAGCGCCAAAAAAAAAAATAGATAAAATAAAAATGACAAAATCGGGTCTGACAGGAAGTGGTGCATGTCGATGATGACACTTCCTTTGTTTTTATAGAAGCGAACCGCGATCTCCAAATCATTCTTCATTCATCAATTGATCTGATCTTGATTCATCCTTTTACTAGGCTAAAAAATAATTCAGTTGTGTTGTGCCTTTTTTTTGGTTAAAGCTTTTCTTAATTAATGGATAAATTTATAAAGATTCCTATAGTAGCAGAAGATTATGAATGTCCCTATTGAAATAAAAAAATCAATTACTGTGCTTAGATAATTTTTGCTATGATTATATATTCCATGAGTATATATATAAAAAAAAAAATTTGTTTTCGGAAGTATAATTATTGATAACTGTGATTAATCTTTTCAGATGTCTTTTCAAAACTTTGACTAGCAATGCAAATTATTTGTTTTCCCATTTGTCAGGATACTTTGCTTTTCGTAATAAAGCAGACGGCTCTTGGTTCATCAGGATTCTAGCTGATGTCTTACTGCGATCTGATGGCAGACAAAGCCTCACGAGAGAGTTGACCCGAGTCATTAGGAGAGTGGCCCACGACATGCAGTCATATAATACAAATCCCAGATATGATGCCAAAAAACAGTCCCCTGTGATATATTCCAAACTTATCAAAGAAATTTATCTCACCCCAAAGAATGGAGAGTTACCAAGGGATTCAACATCCTAATTGAATGAGTTTTGCTTGGACATGATGCAGTATTCTTAAGTCGCCCCCCCTCCCCCCCCCCCCCCCCCCCTTTTTTTTATAAAAAAAAA